AATTGTGACCCTCCACGGGATTTCAGGGAATAAGGTGAACGCACGCACACGGCACACACGTTAGCTGCGTGTTAGTTACTTGCATTATTAACATCGCAGCCATTGTCTTCCTTCGCACGGTAGAGACAAAGGAACGTGTTAATGTCTTGCTTACAACTTTGCACGGTATAACATGATGACCGTGTCAAATGTATAGCACGCTCTTTTAAGTTAAAGTTGCTTTCGATTGGTACAAGCACTACGTCGTAAGCTGTAAGGCTTTCTATTATCTCACCAATACGATTCTAGTTGTCAATATCCAGTGCAACATCGATTAATGAATAAACGAACAGAATGGAAAGTCTCGACTTGTTGTCCGTTTATTTAATCCTGCGTTTGAGTTCTTCCTTTAATTTCGAATTCCTCGTTTTTTTTTAAAACAGCTTGCCAAACACGGGCCAGATGAGCAATGTCCTCTCCTCTTCAAATCCTAAACTTGTGAAGGTAGCAAGCACAAATGCATATACTGACAAGCGTAAGCTTTAGTATGAGAGCAAACATGCATGATGCAAAGCGAATCCTTCTTCTACTTCCTTTGATAGGTGAGGGATTATCCAGCCAGGAACTGTTCAATCGAACGGACTATCAACTTCAGCTTTATTGAAACTGAGAATTGCATATATGTGCGCGCTACTATAAACATGCAACGCAAACACGGTTTTCTCGTAAGGTGAAGAAGGGTGATGCACCCGAAACGTCTTGTTATTACAGCCATTATGAGACTTGATATTTGTGACCTTATACGGGAAAACGTACACTAATGACTTTCCGTTTTCAAACGGCTTTCCGTTTACAAGCTGTTTGTGTCAACCCTCCTTGTGTCAACGGCTTGGTCACCCGTTCACTAGAAACAGCCCGTTCAAATGGCTTCCTCACCTGTTAGTTAGAAACATCAATCCGTTCGAACGACTTAGTTATGCGTTCGTTAGAAACATTAAACAGTTTAAACGACTTCGTCACCCATTTGTTGAAGACATCAGGCCATTTGAACGGCTTGGTCATTTGTATTATGGCATTCCTTTGAATTTTCTGTCGAATGACATGCATGGGAGATGAGTTACGCTATTTGTTAAAAAAAAATCACTTGTTCGAGCGGTCATTTAACTCAATGTTTTCAAGATTTGTTTGACTTCATTTGCACAAGTTTATCGGCTTTTAACTCTTATTTTGCTGTTTTTAAAACAACACGCGTACACAAGCGCCGATCATGGAGTGGATTTTTTTCCGATGTAGCAGACTATGAGCTTTTCAGCGTCCACGATCCCTTATCAGACGAAAATCTAAGCTAAAGATATCCTATGTAAACAAAACGTTTCAAAACAAACCCGAACACTTTTGCTCTCCACATGTTTACATTACAAACGAAATATTTTTTTTGCCAATGACTTGTTCTACGTAAAAAACACGGAGAATCAAAGAAGCCCGTGTAATTCGCGCTCTTCTCATTCGAATGCATAGTGTTGCATTCTCTATCACTCACGTTTGCTTTATGCAAATTTGGTAAAAATGTAATCTGAGAATTGCAACTAGAAATAGAATCACTGTATTGATTGTGAAAATCCTGAGGGAAGGAGCCGTGATTTGCCGTAAAGTGTTTTCCTTTTTTTTATTAAAACTTTCAAATAGGACAGTAGATTTTCTTCATTTTCGCTTACATTCTGTAAGTATAAATATACTTGAACAAAACCATTCTCGAAGAAGAAGCTGACAAACAGAAGTAACGAAGTAAGCTGAGTTGTACAAGTTAAGATATATATAATAGTGTGTTAAGAATTCTACCGTGTTAAGGAAACAAAGGAACATAGCGTGTTAAAAAAACAAAGAATTCTAGCGTGTTATAAAAACAAAGCTCTACCGTGTTAACCAGATATGAACAATGGCTACGAACACGCTTCCTAGTATCAATTGTTTTTATGGGCATATCTGCATGGTAAGCGTGTCATGCCATTAGCGTGCGAGCGTGTTATAATGTGCCGTGCGCGTGCGCTCACCTTATTCCCTGGAATCCCGTGGACGGTAACAATTAATTAATTAAAAATAGTAACAATTTTATAGTCATTCTGAATAATTTTCTTCCCGATCTGCAATATTAACCTGTGATAGCCCCCCTAGATTCATGCAAGATGGAGTTTGTTTGTTCGCCAAAAATCGAGTAAAATTAAGAATTCAGTTGTTCATGCTTAGCGTGCGTATATCGAGTTATGGGTGCAACGAAAGATGCGTAAGAGTTGCTCAAAGTGCAATCGTCTAGTTTGATAGAAAATTCTTTCTCTAAAACTGAGAAAGAAAATGTGCTTATTTATTCGTTAACGATCAATGGAAACTAAGCAGAAACGAACTAGATAAAAGAGTGTTAAAGTGCACCCACAAAAAGTTAAAAAAGTCGTTAAACGAAAGAAAATGCAAAGAGCTCAGGATTAGCTTGCAAGGAACGAACTAGAATTTGACCCCATCTGTGTTAACCGTCAGACCCTAGAGACTGTGAAGAGTGTGAAGTTGTTGGCACTTAATATTATAAAAGCAGTGATTAAAAGTGGAATGTACATGTGTCAGAACTAGTTTGAAAGGTCTCAAAAAGATTATATTTTCTAAGACAATTAAAGAAATCACATGTTGCTAGAAGAGAGCTACTTCTGTTTTACATCACTTGCATTCTCTCCATTCTGGTTATCTTAGCGAAGACCTAGAAAGACTGCAAAAACGCCTTATGAAAATTATTTACACCGAGCTATCATATACTAAGGCTCTAGAGCTGTCCGGACTTTTAACACTGGCGCGTTTGCATGGGCTAATTTAAACGACATGGCCCTCAACACATCTAAAGCTAAGTCTATCTTGATTACGACTCAACAGAAATTTCATCGCCTAAATGATCATTCTCTTGATGTGATGATTAATGGGTAGTTAATTGAACAGGTTCAGCATGCTTAACTACTTGGTGTTACTATTGATTGCCTCCTTGGGGGGGGGGGGTGCTACTTTAGGAATTTCTGGGTGGGGATGTGCCTAAACCGTGGACCGACCGGTTTGCTCATGTAAATGGTAAGCAACCAAAATCTCAGCTAGCTTCCAACTGACGCGTACATTGACCATATATGGAGATCATGGTATAATGGCTCATATTACATGATTGCTAAGCCAACCAAAACGCTAGAATTGCATTATCCAATGATTAAGTTTTTCTGTTTTTTTTCTGTTCAGGTCGGATGCGTCTTTGATAAGCTAGGGGCTCTTCAGTGCGGCATATTGTGGTAACCCTCAATAAAACAGCAAGTGTTCAAATAGAGAAAAAAATACCTTTTCCAAAAAACCAGTTTGTTTCAGCGCTGGTTTTCTAATCTGACCATGAAGATGTTAGCAAAAGCAATGGCCATCTTTGTTCCCATTGACTATTTTCGAATTCCCCATAATACACTCTGTTTGCCCCCCAAATTTTGCATAACTTATTGTCTTAAAATGCTCTTGGGAAAATGCAATACTCCCAGGAGCATTTAAAAACAATAGTTTACGCAGAATTTGGGGGGCAAACAGAGTGTATTATGGGGAATTCGAAAATAGAGAATGGCTGTTCCATGGGTCTGTAGGTAGTTGCTACCACACAATTGGAAAGAATTTTCTGTTAATATAAAAAAATAAGAGAGAATTTCTTTAAAAATTTTCATACACGTGGCATACGGTGGTTACGCCCTCTTCGTGTGGTGTGTTGGTGAAGAGACTAGTAACGTCCATAGAAACTAGGATTGTATCTTTGGGCATTTTTTACTCTTAATAACATTCAGGAAGTCTGTCGTATCTTGTAGATACGAGTCTTTATTTCTACGCTATTGACTGAATAAGTCGATCTACAAAGGCAGATATCCACTCTGTGGACCAAAGAATTAAACCACTGTGAAATCCAGGATGCTGTTTTTCCTAATTGGAGTGAAAAAAAAATTTTCCCGCAGGAGATAATCTCCCCACCCCTCCTGCCAAACTTTTTGCACTGCAAGGATGTAGAGTTCGCAACACAATTAATTGAAAGAGGCCTAAGAGTAGCCAATCTCTAGCAAAGCCTTCCCGTTGAAACTCACAATAAGGAATAAAAGTAAGATCGTTGTTTGTCGTTTCGAGTCCTTCTTTGGTAGTAACAATTTTATAGTCATTCTAATTAATTTTTTTCTGCCACATCAACCCATGAAAGCCCCCTAGACTCATGTAGGGTGAAGTTTGTTTGTTCGCATAAAATCAAGGAAAATTCATTACAAATAAAAAGAGACAAAAAAATGTATATTTTCTTTGATGCATTGAATCGCTGATTGCGTACCTATAGAGTCAAAAGATTCAAGCAATATAAACAAGGCTCTTAAAATTTTTTTAAATGAATACGATTCTTGCATGGAACACAAGGCTGGTGAGAGGTCTGCGTTTTAAAACTAAATTGTTCAATTCACACGCTGTTGACGGACGGTAGTCTTGCGTCAAATATATCAAAGAAGAAAGGGTAAAAAAGAATGTTTTTTGGTGAATATTTGTTTAAATACCAAACCAACATTAATCGACCAGCCACACAATGTTTTTTGTCCGTAAGGAATTGCGAATGAGAAGGCCTTTTAGATTTTGTACTTGATGTGGTCATTATTGCTTTAATTTCCATTTTTTCTCTTTTTTCTTCTCTTGAAAAACCAAGCTCGATACGACCTCGATAGGTCACCAAGCTCGATAACTCATCAAGCTCGATAAGTCATCGAGCTCGATAATCATTTTTACTTTGTCCCCCTGAAAAAGTGAGAGGCCTCGAGCTCGGTATCAACAAATCGAGGCCGGTTGACATAATTATTGAGCTCGATAAACTCGTATCGAGCTTGGTTGTCCAGAAAACTAAACTGATGCCAGAGTAAATCTTTGCAACTGACAGAGCAGTACGAACAACCGACAGGGTAATGTACATAACCAACGGACTAGGGCGTACAACTGACAGAGTAATGTACACAACCGACAGAGTAGTGCGTTCAACTGACAGAGTAGTGCGTACAACTGACAGAGTAATGTACACAACAGACAGAGTAGTGCGTACAACCGACAAAGTAATGTACATAACCGACAGAACAATGTACACAACCGACAGAGTAAATATTTACAAGCGACGAGTAGTGTGCAACTCACAAAGTGATAAGTAAAACTGACAGAGGTAGTGTTACAACCGACAGAGAGTGTGACTACAACCGACCACGTAAATGTTCATTACCGACAGAGTTACAACCAACAGAGTAGTGCGTACAACCGACAAAGTACTGTACATAACCGACAGAGTAATGAACACAACCAACAGAGTAGGGTATACAACCAACAGAGTAAATGTTTACAACCAACAGAATAAATATTTGCAACCGACAGAGTAGTGCGTACAACCGACAGAGTTTTGTGTACAACTGACAGAGTAAATTTTACAACTGATAGAGTAGTGCGTACAACCGACAGAGTAAATCTTTGCAACCGACAGAGTATTACGTACAGCCGACAGAGTAATGCTGTACAACCGACAGAGTAACTGTTTACAACCGACAGAGTAAATCTTTGCAACCGACAGAGTAGTACGTACAACTGACAGAGTAATGTACACATTCGACAGAGTAGTGCGTGTAACTGACCGAGTAATGTACACAACCGACAGAGTAGTGCTTACAACCCACAAAGTAAGGTACATAACCGACAGAGTAATGTACACAACCGACAGAGAGGCAATCTCTACAACCGACCACGAAAATGTTTACAACGGACAAAGTAATGTACATAACTGACAGAGTTATGAACACAACTGACAGAGTAGGGCCTACAACCGTCAGAGTAAGTGTTTACAACCGACAGAGTAAATATTTGCAACCAACAGATTAGTGCGTACAACCGACAAAGTAATGGACATAACCGACAGAGTTATGAGCACAACCATCAGAGGAGCGAGTACAACCATCAGAGTAAATGTTTACAACTGACAGAGTAAATTTTACAAGTGATAGAGTAGTGCGTACAACCGACAGAGTACCGAGAGAGTAGTGTGTACAACCGACACTGTAAATATTTACAACTGACGGCGACAGAGGAATGTGTACAACCGACAAAATGAAGGTTTATAACCGACAATTTGTAGCCCGTACGGCTAAATCCGACAGAGTGATGCGTACAACTGACAGAGAATATGTTTATACCACAGTATCTCTATGAATGCTGTAAATAGAAAACATGAGGGCAAAGACAATGAAATGGTACAACTGACAAAAATAATTTGGAAACAAACCGTGCGCCATACAACGTATGGATAGCTCCACTTGCTCCGCCATCTCAAACACCAACATAGGTCTGGAACAAGTGAAGTCCGGAAACAAGTGTTTTGTGACAATCCCGTGGGGCTGATCAAAACACGGGAACGAGTGCAGTCGAGTTATCATGGACACACAATACGCCCGTGACTTATGACGCAAGTCCGCGCTACTACGCGCGATAAAGTTGCGTAATCAGTTATCGATTATCTATAAAAATCAATAATAATCAATCGCAATTAAGACCATTTGGTGAGTGAGTATCGATTTTTATTGATTGGTGGAACCAATCAATAATATAATCAATGGATTATTATTGATTATTATGGATTATATTGATTTTCATTGATTGATATCGCCGGGAGTATAAGCACAAAATCTTTCAGCATTGAACTTCCACGTTTGTAGAAAAATCCTGAAATAATCTTCCATTCACAAGCAATAGAAGATTCCATTCAAGTTCTACATTTTTAAACGAATAACACAAACTGTTTCAGCCGTTTTGGAGGCTTCCATGCCGGACCATTCTTGTAGAACATATCCAAGTCGATTGATAGTGTCAACTGAACACCGCTGATTGGCTAAGAAAAGATGTTCGTTTCAGTGGGGCGGATATGTGCAGATTTGGGGCCGGATTGTTCACTTTTTGTTTAATTAAAGCACCAAATTTTCAGGAATGACAGAACTAATTATGACTATTAATATGTGATATGGGGCCATCGCAAATTTTTCCTGTTAAACTAATTTTTGGAGTGAAAATTAAACTGGCCGCCATTTTGACCGGAAGGAAATATCATCTAACCTGGAGCTAACTGGGCGGTGGTTTAATTCAGCCGTATTTCACTATCAAGTGACTCTGCGCCTCTCTCAACATAAGTGAGAGTTAGTCTCTAATCTTCAATGTAACCACCCCCAGAATGTCAATCAATTATCATGGACTGAGCAGCACTGATTATCGTGTTAGAGTCCACATGTAAGAAAATAAGGAAAAAGCTGGTTTTCCGAATGTGCATCACTTACGTTAATCCCCTGAGCATGTAAAACATATTCTTTTGGATATGGTTCTTTTGGATATAGTATATAACAAATATGTCGTGCCGAGAACAGCTTGAAGACTAAGATCTGGGGTACACGTATATCAGGAACTATACTAAGAAACTGGAAAAAAGTAGGTTGAGTTTGATCGTCCAGGTGAACGTAGTCCTGAATTGGACTGTTGTTGTTGACAGTGACTGACGTTTCCACAACCTGTCATGACCTGTTCGGTAGTCATCTTCAGAGTCAAAGTGAGTTGTATCACGTCAGTTGATGGTATTATACTCTGGTTATTGATTTGTTGTACAAAGACTGGTCTAGTAATCAGTAGGTATGTGTCGGTTTTTGTGTAAATAGTCGTTTTTAGCTTGTTGTTGTCACGAGTGACTGGAAAAAGCTAGTTCTTTTGTTAAGGTCGAAACAAGCAGGTGCTTCTTAGATTCCTTGCACGTTGAGCAACGCATGGCCAGATGTCCAGTCTTTTCCCTGCATCGTTTGAAGTCAATTTGCTAGAAAGCATTTATTGTTATGCTATATCACAAAGCAGATTCCCTTCTTTTAAGTCAAGTTAGCTTCCCTATCATATATCTTGGTGCTAATGTACATCGACACTACCTTGCAGCCTACGAGATTGCTAACATCTTTACTAAAGAGGCTGCACTTGCACTTCTTCCATTCCATGCGTTCACAGGATGTGACAAGGTGAATACTTCCGGTCACCTCCAAAAATAATCGGAGTTGTTTTCTCTTACACGTTCTTCTATGCGATAGAAAAAGTATCTCTTTAGCATCAACTGACAAAGACAAAAGTAGTTTCTTTGACCCGACCTGCATTACTTAAACATTTCAATGGCACGGCGAACCATGCTAGCCACATATGGAGTCAGCAGGCACCAGTACCCAGCATCTCGGTTCCTAGTCTGCAAGATCGGGGCTGGATATCTCTAAGAGGAGAGTGGCGACTCTCCTGCACACCACTGTCAGAAATTACAAAGTTGAGGGTGGAACTAGTCAGGTACGCTCTTAAGAAGGGCTATGCCCAGAAGAGTGACAATCGGGAAAGGCAATCCTCAACTCTTTTTTTCGATTACAAGCACTTGTCTACATGAAGTATCAAGTCATTAGGTCACCGAGATCAGTATCATCTGTTCTTCTTTGACATTCTGTGTCATAGCCAAAGTAGGCTCAAGTTTAGTAATGGATTATACATGATGAAAGTAGTAAATTGAGTGAATACATTAGATTAAAGAAAATATTAAAGTAAAGAAAATTAGCAAGTACAACAGAAGTTTAGTCTTATTCCTTAAAAGTTCCGTCTACCTGGCGGCTACTTATATCATCTCTATAAGACAATTTGCGTCGAAATAATTTCTATTTGTATGAAAAAACAGCTGTCTTAGGCATTTGCTGACATTTTCTTATCCAAGTTGCTAAAATTCAGACGTTTTAATGAAAATGTTCTGGTTCAAAATGGCCGCTATTTTAAAACTCTTATTTTTCGCACTTAACGGACTTTTTGGCGATGGCACCATATCCTATACCTGCCAACTCTCACGCCTGCGGGTTGAAAACTTTGATCTCATGCTTGCGGGCCAATTTCTCACGCCTGACTGAAAAATGTGAGTTGTTGCCGTCTTGCTTTACACAATTTCCAAAAATATGTTAACTCACACCCACATAAGGATTGAAAACCATGTGTAAAATGAATAAATGACAATACCTTCCTCACGATCCTGATTTTTGAAGTGAAAAGCACTGGGAGCGAGCTCGCCTTTGGCAGACTTCGGACGTCTTCGGAAAACTTCGGACTTGCTGCGGAATCTTTGGAAATGATCGTGTCGTCTTCAAAACCCCAGCACTCCCAGGATAAAAATCTCATGCTTATATCTCAGAAAAAGTTGGCAGGTATCTTTTTTCGGGTCTTGAAAACTATCATCATGCCAAATTTCATGCTTTTAACAGAAAGTGAACAATTAAAGCACATATCTACTCCACCTCAAGAAAACAGGAGGGCATTTTGTATGCGCATGCATCAATATGTCAACATGGGCTGTTGAAGTGCCACGGAGGCATTTTCTGTGACTATTGTTTACGTTCAGTACCAGCATTTGCAGGCTGTTTTCTGGAGCTGAATGACATGTATTGGGTGCTACGTTCCACAAACATGTTCTTTAAGGTATCAAGGTATTTCTACGATGAAAGTGAGTTTATTGTAGCCTCGCTGTCGCCCTTGAGAGGACAGTCTTTCTTTTCGTAAAACAGTACATCGAAGACAAGATGGTGGCTGAATGTTCTTACGACGTAACATTTCGCGCACATTTTTGGAGCAGGAGGAAAAGTTCAGTATGACAGTTTTTCGTTAAACAATTATCCTATAGATACTTAATTCTTCTCAATAGTATAACTCTAAAATTAAACTCAATCGTTCCAGGAATACAGTGGTTAATTATTAAAAAGGCGCCTGTAACAGCTTCCGGTAAAGCTGTAAAAGAATTTCAGATTTGATTGACATAACTTTAGTGACGCTTTTAGTTAAGCATATATGTAGCTCGCATTTCAGTTTCATCTAAGACCCCTTGTGAGAAAGATCATAGAAAAGTTGTACATCAAAACGGAAATTTTCGGAAAGTGATTACCAGCGAACGTTGGTGAGAAATAATTTACACTTGATTTAGTTTGATAGTCTATTAGTCTGTAATTCTACATTGACATTGTCGCTAGTTTCTTCTGCTGTTAAGTTTCATTACATGTACCACGTGCGCATTGAGCAATTATAATTATGATCAGGCTGTGAACGTAACAATACTTAGACTATTTCTTAACGTAATCTTTTCAGTTGACCGCTTCACTTCAGTGTAAAGACCAAAGGAATAAAGAAGTTGGAAGAAAGCGATCCTTCTGGTCAATTGAACCTTTATGAACATTGAACTAGTGCATAACACAACACGGGTACTGAGAATTAAATAAGATCCCATTATAGTCAACAACGAGGGTTAAGTGAACTCAAAGAACTCAAATCATTTGAAAGGAAATTCACATGACAAGTTATGAACTGGAATTAGATAATGGATTCTGATAAAGTAGAAAATAGCGAAGAAGCTAACACATTTGAAGGTGCACATGGTTACAGCAAAGAAACTAAAGAAAATAGCCACATCGATGCGAAAGAATGTAAAGAACGATCGGAACGTCGCAGTAGAAACCGCACCGAAAGAGGCTTAGAATTTGACCTAGAACTTGGTGCAAAGAAAGAAGAAAGAGCAGCGAAAGATGTACAATCGCGCATAGATGCGGCCTATGAATCCTTACGAGAACCAGCGGATCTAGTAAAACTTAACGCTTGCAAAGACGGTTTACAAGCTGAACTGGACAACTTGAAGACGGTACATGAAAACTTGATTGAGTTGCTAATTAGATTAGAGCTCAATGAAAGAGAACAAAGGGAACAT